CATTGTGACCGAAAGGATTAGCTTGCTAATAAAGTCGTAAGACTTACCTTTGATAGCAAGAATGCTGATCTCGCCAAAGTAGCTTCCGTCGCTGAGAACAACAAACTGCGTGACACCGTCGTCAGCAACGACAGCTAGTTTTCCCTCCTTGATGATGTACATCTCTCTGCCAATATCACCCTTCTTACAGATGTAGTCTCCAGGACTGTAGACCTGAGGCTGTAGTTTTAGCACCAGTTCCACCAACAGACCAGCCTCGCAATCTGCAAAGATACGGACCTGCCACACCACACAGAGGAGAAGACCTCATGCTTAGACTTACATTTCTGTTGTATTTATGAGGGGTGCTTAGGAGCGTGCAAAGACCTTCTTCAGTGTGTCCAGGTGGACGTTGATGGCGATCTCAGCTCTCAGTTTGTCAGGGAGGTATTTCAACACTTCCCTCTCATCTACTGCTTTCTTATTGGTCCACAGGAAGTCAAACCACTTGATCACTCGCTTCTCCAGGTCTTTTGTTACCTGGGTTGGAAACAGAAGTATGGGGGAAGGGTTCAAGCAGTGCTTTGATGGGCTACATTACTGGTGTACTGATCATCAGGTGCATTGATACAGTATCTGTTTTCTGGTAAGTAAGAGTCGTTTTTGTCATTAAAAAAAGACAAAAAAGCGAAGCAGGTGTTATGTACAAGCTGAAGCAACTCAAATGGGATTTTCCAATTAGATTTATGTAAAAAAATATTTTATTTCAGATGCAAATACTATTAAAGGACCATTATGATAAAAATCACAGACTAACTGACCTTTCGGAAACTCATGTACTGTTTGATGGCATCAATGCGAGCCTGAAAGTCAGCTCTGGCAGCATTCATGTTGGTGATCATGGAGCCAACGTTACCGACAATGGTAGCAAAAATCAACACACCCACCTGTAGAAAAGCACAGGATATCCATAAACATCTATTTATTGTTGTTTTATATAGTATTAAATAAATAACATGAAAGCAAACACAGATTTTTCTATTTTATAATCTCTGTATTGTATCAGTAAAGAAATATTGTCAAATTATGCCTAACATCTAACCATCTGTCTGTTTAAGCTTTCAAAACCAACCAAACCTCTTGAGGTAAATCCCCCACAACGCGTCTGCTCTCAGGCTTGGGCTTTTTTAGCCACATGCTACACCGTCATATACTAAAGCTAAAGTTAGGCCAGACCCACCAGAAAGTCTGTGACGACGAAGAAGTACTCAGAGTTCTCTACAGGTGGTGGTGTTTCTCCAATGGTGGTGAGTGTTAACGTGGACCAGTACATACTGTAGGCATACTTCCTCACCAGACGACCGAACTCTGGATCGGTCGGGTCAGGGTACACAAACCTGTCAGAACCGAAACCTGAAAGGACAGGACAGATTAATATGTTACAGCCTTTATCAGGGCTTCCTTGGGGCTTAAATCCAGATAAGGAATGAATCCAACAACCCCACCGATGGCTTTGGAAAAAGAGTAGTAAAGACAGGCATTCCAGTGGATGATGATGAGGATGTACATGACGAGGTTGGAGATACGCAGAGCGTTGGGGTAGTTTGTCCTGGTTTCTGTGCGCTGGAAGAACTCCATCATCCTGAAATGATAGGAGGTTACTCTCGTCACTGCTGAGAAATTATTAGTTATGTTTGCAGAATAGCAGTAGTGAGGGTTAGACAGTCCAAAACCTCTGTGACATTATGTGTGTATTCAGTATCCTTAGAAAATCAGTCTTATTAATTTTATCATCAAATCTCTGACTTTTAGGAAAAGGATAAAATTCACATTTGTACCTTTGAGTTAAACATCACAACAACTTTTAGTTAAACTGTAAAGAAATGTTGTTCAGAAATTCATGGAATTCAAAAATATCTTCCTACTTAGTCCAAAGACTGGTTAGCAGTGATTAACCCTTGTTTACCTGTTAAACCTGAAGAGCTTGTTGAGGCGGATCTCGGGGTAGGTGACGCCGATGGCAAGGTAGAACACGTCAGTGGGAATCATGGACACCAGGTCCAGTCTGAACTGAAAGCTTTTCATGTACCGTTCACGTAACTTCAGCTCGTCCTTCACCAGCAAACCCTGCTCCAGGTAACCTGCAATCACATAATAAGCATTCAAAATTTGTACATGTTTGTACCATTATATTTGTGTGCTTCCATTAACGTCTACAACAATCTGTGTGTGTGTCTTCAGACCGGTCCTAGTTCTGAAGACCATGTCACCAAGGTAGATGAGATCTGCCAGGAAGTCCAGGAGGAACCAAAAGATCAAGTAGTCAGTCTGCAACTCCTCGAAACATGCCCTGAAATGGACATGCATGTCACTCAGCACAGTAGTTACTTAAGTAACCAAGCTCTCTGGCATTGTTGGCTTTTATTTTCATGGCACTGGGAACTTATTGTTGATATTAAGCTGTTGTTCTTCTGATGCTGTGGGCACCAAAGCCTTTAGAGCACTGACACAAACACATTGTTAGTAAGAAAGTGTGGATTTCATGTTACCTGGCTATAATCAGGGTCCAGTTGTACATGACAGGGATAGTGATCACACCCAGCCAGTAGTAGTACATGTTTCCTGCAGGATCAATCACTGTGATCTCCTTGGGACTGCAAACACATAACCCATTATAATTTGTATTTGCAGCACATGTGTACTTCAGCCTTACACAAGCATTCATAAAATCAGTTTTTCAAGACAGAGCCAGTGTTTCTGTTTAAGAAGATCAACTAAACATACGGGGCCTCCTTGGCTTTCTCCTTTTCTTTCTCCTTCTCCTTTTCTTTCTCCTTCTCCTTCTCTTCTTTCTCTTTCTGCTTTTTCTCCTTCTTCTCTTTTTTCTCCTTTTTTTCTTTCCTAGGAGAGATAATTACAAATAAGCAGTTTTCAGTGTTCATTAAAGCTGAAATATATTGAGATTTATGTGAAAATCTATATATCTGGATATGGACTCAAATTTACTCCTTTTTCTCTTTTTTCTCTTTCCTTTCTTTCTTCTCCTTCTTCTTTTTCTTCTTCTCCTCCCTGCAGGAAAGCAGGATACATACATGTAACCGTAAAACTACACGTCTAGTTTTAGGTAAAGAGATAAGTTTATATATGCCAATACATTGTACATGTAAGTGTATTTAGTCTGTGTGCGTGTCTTACTCTTCTTCATTGTTGTTGCTGTTATTGACGTTGAAGAGAAACCCCGGTCCAGCTTTTTGGGAGGCTCTGAAACAAAGAAAACGATCCGTTAACCTTCCCATCCATCAATAACCCTGAACAGTTGCCACTAACTGGTGTCATTCTTCAAGAAATTATGAAACTTTAACTTTAGACACTACAGCAACTGCTAATGGTCTCTGAATCACGATAAAGGTCCATTAGGGTCTCTTCACGAGGCCCACGGGCACCTAAATCCTCTAAAGGACTCCAGAACCTGTTGGAAAATTTGTCTGTGAATACATTTTTGGCCCAAATGTCTCTCAGGTTACTATTTGTTGTTTGTTTGGATATAACTCTGGTAGGCCATTGGCTGGTACCCAAGCCCGATAAGTCCATGAACCTGCTGTCCTATGGCCTACACAGATTTAGCAAGAGGCCCTGAATCATTTTAAACCCATTCAAAAACCTCTTCGAGGACCCACTGAGCCACACTTGAACTACACTTCACAGGTGGCTCACAATCATCACTTTCATTACAGTTTTTGAGTCGCATTTGTATGATACTCACCTGTCCTGCGCACCGACTTCACCTGGCTCCTCGTCCATATCTTGTAGAACTATGGAGGGTGGAGTTAATCTGGAGACTTGGTGTGGGAGTAACGGTGCTACCTTGGCCATGGAGATGTTCTTCTTTTGGCTATTTTTTGTCCAGAAAGGGAGAAAAAATGAATTTTGGTGAAACCTTTGCAACACAGAATGTCATACAGTCAGGACATATCCACAGTGAGTTTAGCATGATGGCATTTTATTTGAACACTTGGATGTGTCCAACCGGGTACCACGATGTCATAAAATACTGTCTTTATGCAACATCATTACAAGTTTGCTTTCCCAGCTGTTCAGTGCTGATGTTAAAAATCTTCCTGGGCCTAAAGAAATACAAGCCTTGCAAAAACTTTAGACCTGACAATAACGTGGTCATCGGTACCCGAACTGATTAGCCTCTGGCATCCCTCTGTGATCCACATTTAGTAGGCCCGCTGCACCATGTTTGCAGCACAAAGTTAGTTGTCTGACAAATTTTCTTTGACCCAAAATGGTATTAAAATAATTGTATTTAAAGCTTTAGCTTATTAAACATTCTTTTCATGAATAACTACTAACGGTTAGAGCTTTACAAAGACTATGAGACTAAAGGAGACCCGGGTGGAAAGGATGGTTTTTAGAAAGACGTTTCATTACCAGGCGTTGTTTGGCCCTAACTGGTCGGACCACATAGGACCTACACAGGATCCAAAGCTGGCAGCTCAATGGCATTTTTGAGGCAGTGCCAACACCTGTATGAGCCATATTTTGCAATATAAGGGTAAGACAGATTTTGTTGTTGACACCTTATCATCTAAGTAGGCCATGTGTGGCTAACTAGGAGCCAAACTGGCTGCTTTATGGACCTGAACCCGGGAACATAAATTGGTTTTATTAGAGATTATTACCGGTTCTTTCTTAAGAACTGATTAGTAACGTTTTATGAAGATTCAGGTAAATAAAGACCCTTTGGTAACACGCAGGTTTTTGTGCTGTAGTGTGGGGTCACCAAGAGTTTAAACAAAAGCAACAGGTAAATTAAGAGCACACACATGTGAATATACAACATATCCACTATCAACACAACCTACATTGTTCCCTCACGTTTCCATTTTTATTGTTATCAATTCTATTGAACACAAACGTGTATGATGTTTAAAAAATGTCTTGCATAATGTGCGGCCTTCTACCCTCAGTCCATTATCTCCTTACTCACCAGCTGATAATCCAACACCCGTGGTTATGTGGCCTAGATCCACCAGCAGCCCATCAAACTCATCTCCATGGAAACAGAGGAGTAACCTCCCATAAACGCACTCCTGTGGAAGCTGGGACCCTTTAAATCCTCACTGGTTTAGAGTCTAGAGGGAAAAAGGAGAAAAGGGACGGAGGGATGGAAGGAGTGGAGCGTTCGGAGGGTCCAGCAGACGAGTCTCCTCAGTCACCCTGACCAGGATAAAGAGATTAGAGGAGGGATGATACTGTGTGTCTTACGTACGCCTGCACTCAGAGGTGGGGAATGAAACTACTACCATGTGCTTACACATGAAAATATACAACTCTACCTCGACAACTTTAATATTTGTTTCAATGTTGAGCAAAGACGTAAAACAGCATGTAAAAGTGAAGGAGTTCAAGTTAGACAAACAGGAAGCTAGGAAAGAAGGAGAAGAAGTGAAATGTGTCACAGAAGGAGGAGTTAATCAATGATTAGAAAGGAAAGAAACGGCTAAATGAGAAACAGAAGAATGTATAACAGCATTACAGGAAGGAGGAGGAAATAAAGAGAAGGATGAAATATGGTGGAGGAAAAGGGGACAGAAAGAGTCTGAGGATGAGTGGTGTGAAAGTAGTGATTGCAGTAGTGAAAAGTGAGGAAGAGCAGATTAGAAAGAGCCGTGCTGGTTTTCCTCTGATCCTCCTGAGTCAGCAGTGTAGCCTTAATAACACACAGCAGCCTTTAACGGGCAGCTCTGATTGGCTTATTGGGAATTAGTCCATGTGTGTGTGTGTGTGTGTGCAGCACTGTTACCTTTACTGTCACCACACAAAAACTATAATTCATGTGTGACTGAAGTACCATCTACCATCGGCTCTGCAGGGCTGAATCTTCATCCCTTTATATCGCACTAGGAAAATGAACACATGTGTGACATAATCTCCACCACAGTCTTCAGTAACAGGCTTCTTGAAGCTTTTCTTTGGATGTTGGCAGCTTTTCTTTATCATGATGATCCCACACTGTTGAGTGGAGGCCAATCCTATGATAGTGTTTTCTATCCATGCTCTCACTGCACTGGCGGTGCGTTTGGGATCACAGCTGAAAAACGAAGCTGTTGCCAAGCAGGCTCTTTCCAGATGGTATTAGATGGTGGATTGTGGGATATCTTAGCCTCTTCTCCCCGATTCCCTTCCTGAAGAACGGCTTCTTCTTCCTCTGAGACCATTTCTGGCCTCAGCGAGCACCTCTGCAGTTTTAGGCAGTTATTTTAATTCCACTTTAACCGCTTATGCACCAGTCGCCTCAGATTCATTGAAGACATTGACATTAACACTTTGACGTTAAAGAAAATCTTTGGAGTCTTGCTCAAAATTTGAGAGCTGATAATAGGACAATGTTTATAAACTATTTCTTATAAACTTCCTGCTGTTCCAAAAGTGGCCACAATCCAGAAACACATGGCTGCAGATGCAGTTTTTCATTTTAAACCGGGATTTATCACCCTGCGCTCATGATCCTAAAGCTCCTGTTTAATTTGCAATTACATTTGAAAGAGGGAAACCTGGACCTGGTGTTACCTGCTCTGTCATTTCAACAGAGAGTTTATGGCTATTGCTAATTTCCAAACTTTGTCCCTTGTGGGGCTTTTACATTCACACACATGCTCGGAGTGATGAGCTGTGTGGATCCTGTGTCTGTGACTCCCCCCTCATCTGCTGCCCTCTGCTGGATGCTTCTGTAACTGCTCTACTTTGAACCAATGAGTGATTTGTGATCAGTGAGTAAAGCAGCTGAGAATTCAGCTCGGATGCTGTGACAGGATGAAACCACTGCAACAAGTCCTCTTTGATGTTCCACGATCAGCTGGATGTGGTGTTACTGCAAAGGTGAAGCACAGCAGCTCAGTATTCAAGTGTCAGACCACGAAAAGACACAGATCCACTGCCCTGCAGACCTTTTATAGATTTTTGAAAGTTTAACCTGACATTTAAACTGTTTTTAACAACAACCCCACAGTTACTGATTTATTCTGTTTTACATTATCTGACATTTCTGATTAGTGAACTTCTTCCATTGTTTTGGCTGCCGTTCAGTAAATATGTACACCAGCCCCTCACACTGTTGCACAGGTCCCATTAGTAATGATGACAAAGGATGCTGTCGGTGTGTGTGTGATTTCACTGTGATGAAGCCAGTTTATTGTGGCTATTTCACGCTGAGATGTGATACGGGCCTGTCACAGACACTCACACCATTAGAAAAACAAAACCACTGAGCTATGGTGGCAAGAAAAGAGGAAGAAGAGGCTTTTTTCCCCTGATCTAGTGGTTTTCTCAAGCTTTTAAAAAAGATTTTCAATCCTGTTGAATAATTTTGTCCTATTTTCTTCTGTTTTTTGGATACAAAATAACAATCGTATATTTGAATGTCTGTTTGGACGAAATGTCCCCAAGCATGAATAAAAGACTTCAGAATTTATTTTTCACTTCTGAGAGAAACTTTCTAACATTTCTGTTTCAGGTCATCTTTTTGTAAAACTCTTTATAAACTTACCTAAAACGTATTGAACAAAACTGCGATCTCAGCCAGACGAAGAGTTCAGTAGAACCATGTTATTCCTAAAATAAGTTGTATCACCGCGGCTCTAATTCTCCGTCCTTCCATTAAAAGTCTTTAATCTTCAGTTTCTTAAATGAGTCACGTGGTACGACCAACTCGCGAGGCCGTGAAGCTGACCCCCCACCCACTTGAAACGTAAAGGCAAATAGGCGGAGCGGTTAGTGCTACGTTTGTGCAGATTTGTGCAGGTAAAAT